CACAAGTGTCAGACCCTACAATGAAAACTGGTAGGGGGTTGGATTTCTCTTTCCCTGGTTGGGAACTTGACAATTCACATGTGCTGGATACTTTCCATCTGCCTTGCAAGCCCACGACACCAGGGAAGCTGGAGGAAGTCCCTGGGAAGGTATATGTGTATATGTGTATGGGTGGAGAGCAAATGTCGTGACTGGGACAGGGAAGGGCCTCAGAGGGAGGGTTGAAGAAATATGAGAAAGTGCAGTCTAATGTGTAGGGAACAGGCAGGGCAGTTCTCATCTCTGTTCTCTGTGAGATTATTTTTGGGATATGAGGGAGGTACAGGTGGGTGGGAGGTTTAAGAGACTCATGACCACTTGGAGAAGCTCTGGAGGAGGACGGGAGCATGACAGATGAGTAATCAGCTTGAAGACTGGTAAGTGCGGGCCCCACTGATGCTGGGAACCCTGCAGCAGCCTCAGCCTAGGGCTCTATGGCTATTAATGCTGAGCATCTCTCAGCACAGCTGGGGCAGGAACATGTAGGATTCACCCATAGGTAGGCATAAGGTGGCACAGTGGAAGGTGGGGTGCTGAGGAGCTCACAGTCTGGCTGACATCCTATTGGAGTCTACCCTCCTTTGTACGGCAAACTGCAGTCAGGTGAGGTAAACCCTCTTACCACAGAAGCCAAAGTTCTCCAAGAGAGCAACTTAGAAGATACAGCAGTGTGCCTGAAGCACAATGGGAAATGTGCCTTGACCATTCTGTCTTCCTTTATAGGCTGTGACAAATTATCAACATGAGCAATATCCATTAATTATGAAGACTCCATTTCAAAGCCTGGCTTCCAAAGGCCTTTTTATAGCACAATATTAGGTTTTAGGTGGGGAGAAGAATGGCATATTCTCTCCCAGTGCCACCTGGTCAGTTAATCAGCAGGTCTGAGCTTCTGCTGGCAAAACAGTGTTTCCCATTTCAAAGACAGCTCATCCCATGGGATTAACAATTAGATCAATAGTGTCCACCTGGAGGTCCTGAACATTCTTTGTTATAATTATAGCAAGAAAAGCTTAGTTTAGAAAGAAAAAAAGAGTAAAAAGAAAAGCCTAGTCTTCACAATAGCCATGGAGGGAAACACCTGAGGTGTATCCATTCTCATTCTTCATCTGTCATTCGCCCTGCTCCCTGAGACCATAATCATTTCCTTCTGACAATCTATGGAACTCTACCATTTACTAGCTAGCCACTAGATTCCCTCAGTCCACATAGTCAGAACACACAGTTCTCTAAGGGCACCTCCTGCTCTGAGACACTACTGATTACAATGTTTGCTGTTTGACAGATATATTACAGTTTGTTACAGTGAAATATTTTAAAGGCTCATTCGTAAAATCAACTCAGCTAAAAGAATAGGTCCTCATAAAGGTCCAGGAGTTTGTTTTTGTTTTTTTTTTTCCTGTAGCATTTGTCTCCCAAGGGAGGTGGGAATCTATGTTAATTCTGGGTACCTATCAATTTAGCAAATATGAATTCCCTCAGGTTAATTTAAGGAAAGTTGTATTTCTGAAAATAAGAAAATCCTGGATTGGGACTTAAAAGGAAAGATTTGGTGTGCAATCAGAAGGTACTGAATAGCACTCAGCAAATATTTATCAAGCAAATGCATCAAAACTCCTGCATATGTCAATACTTTGCCCATCTTTTCTCAAAGTCCCACCTGTGAAATTACAGAAGAGGACCAAACTACAGGAAAGTGAGGTGTGAAAATCATCAGAAAAGGTGAGTTGCTCAGGAATTTGACAGAATGTCACAAGATATCTCATAAAATGTGAAATCGAAGTCACTTCTGAGAGAATGTTAGCAAGTAAAAACCCACATGTACCAAGATCACCCACCTATAGAAGATATGTGCTCTTTTCTTTCCTCTTTCCCAAAATCACCAGCTACAAACCACACAATGGGAAGGGTGTGTTCCTAAAGTGTGGCCTCATGCTTGTGGCCTGTGGAACTACCCCCAATGTGAAGGCAGATGGCATGCCACAAAGTCAGAACTGAGTAGGGCATCATTAACACTTCCTAGAGAAAGGAGGCTTCGGCCTTGACTCCCAGGACAGCAAACTGCTTTGCCTGAAAGTGCTGCCATTATAGAAATGATGACATCACCCTTCATCACCCATTGGGCTAAATGCTTTGGGTACATTACTCATTTATTTTTTATATCAACCCTTTGGGAGAGAGATCATCATCCCTATTTTAAAAATGGATAAAATAAGGGTGGGAGGTGTTAAGAAACTTGCCCAAGGCCACAGAGCTATGCAGGGGCAGAACTTGGATTAGAATCTACATCTGCCTTAACCCCTGCACTAAATCTCCGTGATGATTCAGCAGCTGCCCAACTACTCAGGTAGGGTTTCCTAAAAGAGGAGACTGGCCAACAGAGACAATGAGGCACAGGAGAGAGTAAAGGTTGAAAGCCAGATGATCTTAGTTCTAATGCAGTTTCTCTTTTATGAACTGTGGGATAATGAGGGATCTTCCCTTTCCTCACCTGTAGAGCAGGCACACTTAGTGATTCCACAGGGAAAACCTCTCACAGTCAGCTGCAGGGCAGCCTCTCCACAGGTGTTGTTCACTTTCCCCTGCCCTCCCCAGTGTGATGAAGGGGCCTCATTAGGTTGACATTTATTTATATATGGGATTCTTGGGTGCTTGATACAACCTGGTGGGGTCACACATCAGAACAAGCAATGATTTTGTCCATGCACTTAGATGCTTGTTCAGTCTGTTAAGATGAAAGTTTAAACAGGATCAAAATTAGTCCTGTTGAGATAAAGCTGGTTGCAATTCATGTGGAAACTGCTGTTCATTTTGTTTTTCTTCCCAGGCCCTATAGACAGCACCCAAAACTGCTCACAGCATCCCTTGCTCATCAGAAGCCCAAGTTCTTGCTCCTGGGGTGCGGGGAGGTCAGGTACGGACAGCCTTCCTGCCAGCACCTAGTTGAGTGGCAGATGAGCTCCTTTCAGTTGTCACTAAGTAACAGTGTGAAATTCCTGTATCAAACCAGGTTTGATTCTGTTCTCCATGGCTGCATTGTCCTGGGCACTGCCCCAGTCATAGGGAAGGATACAGACAGGAACAAGTTATGTCACTGTCTTGGTCACAGAGCTCTTAGTTATGAATAAAAAACAGGACCTGCTCCAGTGTGAGCAGGGGAGGAATTTATAAAGATGTCAGTCAGCCCATAGGCTTTGTGGAAGGCCAGAGACACAGACTTGGAGGCCACAAGGCCAGAGGAGTCACTCCAAACCCCACAGCTGATGGCTCCAGCAAGACCTACTGCTCACAGTCACTGCCCCTCACATGGCTGACACTGCATACTGGACCACAGAGACCCTTGTCCTAGGAGTGACATCCTCTACCATCATTCCCAGGGGAGTCTATATGATACCAGTTTCCATGAATCCTCTTTGAGTGGTCCTGCTGTGGGTGTATAATTGTGGAACTCAAGTCACATGCCTGTAACAAAGGTGATAGAACATATACTCCTAGCCGCTACTTAGGTATACTGAGAGTTACACTGTGAGAAGTTCTTCATACTTGGTGTTTGAAAGAAACTGAGGGGTCACTAACTACAACAAATGTGCCCATGGCTTTCAGGACTTAGAGTCCATGGGCAGTTTAAACATAAGTGGGCGAAAGCAGAAGTGTGCAGGAGCATGTGGTGTCCCTTGTGAGTGGGGAGGCAGCTTTTTAAGGGTGCATGAGAGCTAACTCACATGGTATTGGGCGGTGGCAAAACTGGCTTTAGGAGTGGTAGGGAATGGCATGGGATGAAATCACTGTGGCCAGCTTGGAAGAGCTTTGAGAACTGACTGGCTCTTTAAGAGGACTGAGCAGTTATTGCTGGGGAGAGGGAACCTAGGGTGGAATTTTAGGCACTGTAGCAAGTCATGGGGAAAACATTTTGGGGTAAAATGGTCTTCTGATTGAATTCTTTCCCCATAAATTTATATGTTGAGGTCCTAACCCCCAGCACTTCAGAATGTGACTGTACTAGACATACGTTCTTTAAAAAGCTTATTAAGCTAAAATTAAGCTAGTTCGAGCTCTAGCCCAATATGACTAGTGTCCTCATTAAAAAAAAAAAAGAAGATAAAGCACAGACACTCACAGGAGGAGATCTTGTAAAAGCACAGGGATAAGGTGCCACCTGCGAATCAAGAAGAGAGACCTCAGGAGAAACCAGTCCTGTCAATACCTTGATCTCAGACTTCAGGGCTCCAGAAGTGTGAGAAGATGAATTTCTCTTGTTTAAGCTGCCCCTTCTGAGGCATTTTGTTATGGCAGCCTGGGCTGACTCATGCAAATGGTAAGCTTCTTAAATACGCCAGGAGGTTCTGCTTGTTGCCAATCCCCAAAGCCATCTTGGGCATAATGAGGGCAAGCAGAGGGGTTTTTTGAAGATCACTGTTGAACAAAAAGAAGGCTTGCTTGGTACAGACTTAAGATTCAAACTTAAGAAGAGGTACAGAAAGTTCAAGCTATTGGAGCACATGTGGCTTGTCAAAGGAAACAGGGCTGCAGAATGCTGCTTTCTTTTTCCACAGAAGGCATGTCTGTTCTTTCAGAATAGACCTGGGGAGTGCCCTGTTAGGCCTTCTGGGCTGACCCACTGAACCATTCTAATGTCTCTCTGAAGTCTAGCTTTACATCTTGGCTGTGTGATTGGTGTCCTGAGCTTCTGTTCCTCTGTGAAATCAAATAAGATAGCATATCATGTGCCTAGCCATCCACCCAACTTAGGGGAGAGGCTCAGGAAAGGGGAGTTCTCTTCTCTACTCTTTCATGTCAAGGGCAAATGCACATCAGGGTTGGAAATTGCAAGAGTAAACATATAATTAGGGTGGAGATCTAGTTCTGAATAACTCATAAATCATCTGAAACCAGTTTCCTGTTAATGGTTAATCCTTGGTAAACACCAGGTGTGCCTTTGGCACATTATCTTTCCTAATCATGCCAGATAGGTGGTATTCCACTCCTATATAAGTTTGCTGTGACTGTCCCTGGATGTATATGCTTGTAAGGATTCTAGCTCATTAAAATGGTAAGTAACTGGTTGTTTCATACATAAAGGCCAGTAGAAGAAAACAGTATATACAGTATGTTCCTTATTTTAATGTGCTGTGATGTGTGTTTCTACTGGATATAATTTAATGATAAATGTGAGCCTAATTATGAATCTTTTATAGATTACTTGCAATTCAGTGTGTGGAGTATAATGAGAGGCTGGGAGCTTGAGAAAACTCTTAATGAATTTAGCACCATTTCTATTCTCTAAGATCGAAGCTGTTGTTTCTTCCAGTAATTTTGGGATTCAGTTAGGCTATTTGTATGTCTCTAATTCCTGAGTGTTTTGTGAATTAATATAATTTCAGAGCTATAGCACTGAATCATTTTACAGATGAGAAAATGAGCCTCCTGTTTGGAAGAAGCAGTCACTACCCTGTGGGTAGCTGAAACAGGAACCCAGGTGTCCCTCTCTCTATTTCAGTGACTCCCAAACCTGGGCATGTTTGACAAATACTGACATCTGACTCCTGCACCAAATACTCTGAATTAATTGGTCCACAGTGTGTCTTTGAGAATTGGGGGTTTTTAAAGCTGCCTAGGTGATTTTAATATTCAGCAAAATTTTAGAACCATCCCCCAGGCTCTTTTTAGTGTATCATGTTGTATTAAGAGAAAATTTTGCATCAAAATCTATGAGAATTCATCTATTCTTCCTTTCTGTCTTTATTTCAGACTTGGTCTTTTGTAAAGTATCTTGCTAAAGCCAGTGAAAGTGTAGGAGCTGGGCTGCTCAGGGGATGCAGTGGAACAGAGGGAGGAGGTAGTCAATGAATAGGAATAGAAAAGCCTCCCCCAGGCCACACCTCGGAAACTGTCTCAGAAAGACAAAGCTGGGAATAGTAGAAAAACAGTGGGCTAGGAGCCTGCTACTCCATTCAGATCTCTCCTCCAGCCTCAGAGTAGACTGTAAGTTGTAGAGCTGGCAACATCCCTCCCTGCCCTGCTTAGAACCCTTAAAGACACCTGACTCTTGATCATGTGTGGGAGACCCAAGGAGCAGCAGCTTACCTGAAGGGACACTATTTCTAAGCACTGCTTCACTCTAAGTTTGGCATGAAGCCATACCATCCAGAAAATACAACAAAAGCCTGCCTCAAGCTGCACTGTTGCTGTTCCTGCACATACTAGGTGCTCATCTTTACTGAATGCTGCAAAGGAAGGAAAGGGAGGGAAGGGACGTGGAGAAACAATATGGGAACAGGAGAGAACTTCAGAGATTTTCTACTGAGGTGGTCCTTGGTCCTCAGACCAGCAGCATGGACATCACCTGGGAGCTTGCTAGAAATTTGGACTTTTTGAGTCCCAACAAAGCAAAGTCTGTATTTTATTTTACAAGATATTCCACTGATTCATATTATCTACATTATAGCAGCACCAGCTTTGATCATGTTTCTTGTGCTTTTTGCCTGGGGGACTAGGTAAACATGAAAAGGCCTTGGCCCTGCCCTTCTTCAATGAGCTTCAGATTGTATTTGTTGTTAAGCCTGGGTTGCTTTGATGCCCATCCAAGCAGGAGAATCTCTGTTATTACAGGGAAGGAAACTGAGGCTGGGAGAGAGACAGACAGACGGAGACAGAGAGCCAGCCCATGGAGGTTATATGCAAGTGGTTAATCTCAAAACTGTATACTTTGCTATCTCCTGTCACCGTGTTTGGACTCCATCCTTGAATTGTCAGTTAGAATGCCTTGCTCAGAGCAGCAGGAGATCTGGAAATTCTGTACCCTTCACTCACCCTATGCTGCAGCCCTGGTTTGTGCCCTTTTGTGACTCTGTTCTGTGACTAGATAAAACCAGACCTCCAAGATTCCTGTGATCACCAGCACCCCCCAGGAGCCCTCTTTCTGTGTGAAGGGAGCACAGACTCTGCCAGTAATGCTGGCTTTTTAATTTAATTTATTGTTGAGAAAAATTTCAGGTTTCCATGATCATCATAAGCTGAATATTATGCAACAGTATAAAACGCAGAGAGCAAGTGCAACCTCAAGTTCTGATGTGAGCTAAGTATATTGAGAGTTTCTTGTAGGAATTGATTTATTTCTTTTGGTTATAATACCAATGCATTTCATTGGAGACAATTTAGAAAATAAGAGGAAAAGCCCAAAGAAAAGTCCCATAGCTCAAATACCACTTGTTAAAATTTGATACAAAAACTTTAATCTTTTTCTGAGCATTTCCCTCTATGTGGACCTTTTTTTACATTATAGGAATAACACCATGCAAATCTTTTTGTAACCTGACTTATTTCACTTAGTCATATTAGTGATCATTTATGTCATTTCATATTCTCTTACCACCTAACTTTACCAGTTCTTTTTTCCCCCCGAATCACCATGTGTCCCAAACATTCCTGTTTTGGGGCACTTTTATTATTTCCATTTCCCTGTTATGGTGAGCATCCTTGAGAAGTCTGTCTCCTTCTGTGTGCCATTCTTCTTAAGATCAAGCCTTAGAAGTGAAAAAGGTGAAGTCAGATATTGTAAACTGTTTTAAGAATGTGGATATACATGATCAAATTGTGCTCCATAAAGATTATCCCAACATAAACTATTCTTATACAATTCACTGCCCAGATATACTTCTATTTCCCATGGGGGATTAGAAATAAAATAATTATTTTTGTCATCACATTATGGTTCTATTTTATTTACATATTTACATTTCTTGTCTCATCAGTAAGTTGAATTTTTCCACATGTTTATTCATCAGTTGTATTTGTGTGTATATGAGAAATGCCACTTTATTTTCCTTGCCATTTTTCTACCAGGGTATTTTTATTTTTCCCATTATATACAGAAATTCTTTATCTGATAATGCTGTTCTCCAAATTTGGTAATTGTTTTTTTAAATTCTGTTTATTGACTTATAACTTTTACATATTCGAAACAATTTCTTTTCTTTTTTATTCTTAGAATAAGATAAATATTTACTTATATTTTCTGTGATTAGTTTATGGCCTTTAGGTTTTTAAAAATTGATTCCAGAGAGAGGGGAAGGAAGGGAGAAAGAAAGGGAGAGAAACATCAGTGTGAGAGAGAAATATTGATCAGTTGCTTCTTGTGTACACCCTGACCGGGGACTGAACCAACAACCCAGACGTGTGTCCTGACTGGGAATTGAAACCCAGACCTTTTGGTTTGTGGGATGATGCCCAACCAGCTGAGCCACACCAGCCAGGACTAAAGTTTTTAAATTATAGTTGACTATAATTTAACTTTGTTTCTTTTCAAAATAATCCACCATTTGTTCTAATATTATTTATTGAATAATCATTGTCTAAATATTTCAAAGACTAAGTTTATCTTATAGTAAACTTTTATATGTATTTATAAATATACTTTCTGGGGTTTCTTTGCTGTTCCCTTCTCATTCTATTCTTATATCAGTAATGCGCTACTTCAGGTAATATCAGTTCATAATTAATTTTTGACATCTTACAGAACAAGCACTCTCACTTCACCTCCTTTTTACAAGGTTCCTGAAAATTGCCATATAAAGTTTCTTTGTTTATTTAGTTTGCTCATCTCAAAATGATGACAAAAAGCAACTTGATACTTTTATTTTGTCCTGCAGAGCCAGTATCAGCTAGATGAACTAATATGTTCATGAAGCCATCAACAATGCCTTTATTACCTGGAAAATGAAGTTCTTACCCTCATAGTCTAAGAATTCCAGTTAATTCAGCTCCATCAAGTCTCCTATAGCATTTTCTTACTCCTTTTGTTAACATTTTATTATCTTCTTGAAGCTTTCTTCTACTCCCTCATTTCTGTCTTTTAAATTATATAAATTATATATACTCTGCAGAGAGGCTAAAAAAATCAACTATCTGCAAGGCTTCCCCAAACCTCCTCTGCAATAAAATAGAACATTATTATTATTTTTATCAGTCTATGATCTTCGACTCACATTTAACACCTTTTTCAGTTTATTTTAGTAACTTGTGTAGGTCTTGTTCTTTTGCTTGATTACTTGATGGTAGAGGCTCTAGCTTTAAACCACCTGCCAAAGCCCAGCAGGGGTCATCCTACAGGACACCCAGTCAATGACTGCCCTCTGAATTTATTTGTTTTCCTTCCTGACCCTTATTTACGTTACAGAATGCTCTTTTGGGCAGCATCATGGTTTTGGTGAACTGCGTGACTTTATGCAATGCACAGTGCTATGTTATACCTAACCAAAACACTCCAGGTGATTTACTTAATGGTAAGTCCTGGCTTTTCAAGTTTATTATTTTACTGCAGCCTGGTAGGTATAACCTGTTGACATATCAAGGCCTTTAAATCTACATGGGAAGGAGGGTTAGGACAGATACCAAATGGCATGAAATGAGAGGCTTCAGTTTGCCATTTATATAAGACAGTAGTTCTCAACACTAGGTGTATGAGAAGTGCCTAGAGAGCTTTTGAAAACTACCCATGCTCAGGCACCATCCAAGAACACATAAATCAGAATCTCTGGTAAAGGAGCTGTGTATTTAAAAGCTTGATTGACCCCCTACGTGCAAGCAAAGAACCATTAATTATTCCATAGTAATACTTCTCAGACTTCAATGTTCAGGTAAACCCTCTGAGAATCTTGTTAAATTAAAGGCTCTGATTCCGTGAGCCTGGAGTGAGGGTGCAAATTTGCATGTCCAACCCAGCCTCAGGTAGTGCTGATAATAATTCCTCAAGCACACTTAGACCACCAAGAAGGAGTAAAAGACAGAAAACTGTACTTGAACAATAATTAAATAAATTAAAAAAAAGAATTAAAGCAGTGGTTGTCACCCTTGGCTGAATATTTGAATCACTTGGGGAGTTTTTTAAAAGTATGGCAGCTTGGCCCCCATGACCAGAGATTCTGATTTTACTGTTGTGGGGTAAGACTTGGGCATACATTCTTTTTAATACCCAAAGTGTTTTACATGTTTATTTAGGGTTGAGAAGCAAAGCAAAGGGAGGTACAAAAATGAGACATTTATCCAGAGATAATCCATCAGAAAAAAACAAACAAAACAAAACAAACAAAAAACTTGGCCCAAAGTACTCCTAGAATCATAATAGCTATCTGATTTAAGAGGAAGACCTTTTTTTTTTTTTTTTCCTTGTAATGTCTGTACTGAAATAAAATCTGGAAGGATTTAAGCTTGCTGTAGGAAAAAATGGTCAGTGGCAGGAACTTGACAGTACTGAAACTTAGCTGTGGGAGAACATGGAAGCACTTTTCATAGGTACCCTTAAAAACAATTAGATTTTCCCCTCTCTGGGAGGGATGCAGATGACAGGGGCTGGCCCCATGTCCTACAAGCCTTGTTCCAGTTGCATGACTTGAGGACACCACTTATGATGCCACATGTATTATTTTAGAATGCAAGGATCTCAGTGGAGTCATTCACCCACTGAACTCGGAGTGGAAGACTGAGAACTGTGAGGAGTGTTCTTGTGGTCGAGATGGAATTAACTGCTGTAACATGTAAGTACCAAGCCAGCAGGACCAAGAAGGGGTGCAGCTGCTGTTGGGTTGTTCTTTGAGGTACAGGTGCTCCCTCTTTCCAAATCTCATCCTGAAGGAGGGTTAGTTTTCAGTGTTATTTCTTTTTTAATTTTAGTAAAATTATACATAATATAAAATTTAGCATTTTAAGTATAAAATTCAGTGGCTTAAGTACATTCACAATTTATTTGTCTTCCTTAGCTGAGGGCATTTTTTTCATTGCTTTTATTTATTTTTTTAAAGATTTTATTTATTTATTTTTAGAGAGAGGGGAAAGGATGGAGAAAGAGAGGGAGAGAAACATCAATGTGTGGTTGCCTCTCATGAACCCCCCGTGGGGGTCCTGGCCCACAACAGAGGCATGTGCCCTGATTTGGAATAGAACCAATGACCCTTTGGTTTGAAGCCCACACTCAACCCCTTGAGCTATACCAGCCAAGGCTTTTTGCATTGCTTTGAGAGAGAAGGGAAGAGAGAGAGAGAAAGGGGTACAGAGGGAGAGAGAGAGGGAGAGGGAGGGAGAGAGAGAAGGAGGGAGGGAGGGGGGAGAGGGAGAAAGAGAGGGGGAGGAAGAGAGGGAAAGAGACAGGGAGGAAGAAAGGGAGAGGGAAGGGGAGAGGGAAAGGGAGAGAAAGGGTGGGAGTGAGAGAGGTAGGGAGGAAGGGAGAAGGAAAGAGAAAGGAAGAGAGAGGGAGGGAAAGAGAGATTCTGGTTCACATTAAACTGGCAACCTAGGTATATACCCTGACCAGAAATTGAAACCATGACCTTTTGATCTATGCTCCAACCAATTCAGCCACCCTGGCCAGGACAAGTACATTCACATTTTTGTGCAACCATCTCCATCATTCATCTTCAGAACTTTTTCATTTTCTCAAACTGAAACTCTCTACCCAATAAATAACTATCCATTCCCTCTTCTCCTCAGTCACTGGCAACCACCATTCTACTCTCTGTCCCTATGAATCTGACAACCCTAAATGGGATTGTACAGTATTTGTTCTTTTGTGACTGGCTTATTTAAGTAGAATGTCCTCAAAGATCATTCAAGTTGTAGCACGCCTCAGAATTTCCTTCCTTTTTAAAGCTAAGGAATGTTCCATTGTATACATAAATTATATTTATGCATGCATCTGTTGATAGACATTTGAGTTGCTTTCACCTCAGTCTTATTTCTTTTAAGTTGTTTTTGAAACCTGATAAATATACTTATTATTAAATACCTATATCCAGATGGGTTGCTAAAGATAGGAAATGATGCCCAGTTGTCTGAAGCTATTCTAGAATGTAGCTGGTTTGACTTCAGCCTTGGCCTGTGGAGATTTGCAAGAATAGTAGTGGGTGTGAACACAGGCAGAAGGAATGGGTGTGAGGTATAAATGATACTCTGTGGTTTTTCTCATACTCTAAACCCTAGTTTCTTTACTGCTTAAGTGTAACTTGTGTCAGCCCAAAGACTGTGCAGATGATTTTCTGTTGGCTTGCTGTGGACACCAAAGGTCTAGCACTTGGGCCAACAGAACAGAATGTACCTCCAGCGTGGTACTAATTTTTCTGTTTCCTCGGTAGCCACATCCATACAGCTACTTCACTTGTGGCCACCCCTGGAAATCCATTTGACATGATCACTTTAGTCTTGTCATATAGTGTTTTGGAGGAATAGAAGTGGATTTGATCAAAGAATATAAAATAGTGTTTGATCAAGATCAAATAATGTTTCCCAAACTTGCCTGGTCATAGACTCATCTGGGAAACCTGATAAAATACAGATTCCTGGGGCCCACTCCAGAACCTACTGAATCAGAAGCTACAGGGGCCTAAGGAATCTGAATTGTAACAAGTACCTCAGAGGGTCTTATAATACCACCAGTGAGTAGAGGAGCAAGCATTAGTCTTAAATCAGACATCTGAATGTCCAAAAAGTTTCAAATACATTTAATTGAGCATGCCCCATGCTAAGTGCTTAATGGAACAAAAAGGAATATCAGATCAGGCTTTCTGGCTGGCTGCCCCACACATGTCCCCAGGTTTTGTCTCATTTGGGTCACTGCATGTCACAGCTCTACCTTGACCTTGTAGCTCCAGATATTTGACATTGTCTTTGTGTCTAGTGTCAATGTGTAGTTGTGAAGTTTAAGGGCTAGTGAGCTATTCCTCCACACATACTTGCAGGTAAATTGCAGCACACCTACTTCCAAAGTGGCCAAAGCATTCATTCCACCTGAATTTGAAACCTCCACCCCCATCAATGCTGCATCACTACAGCCCTGTCAACACAACTCTCTTCTAAAAGGTCCCATGAGCCTACTGCAGAAAAGAATGAAGTGGGAAGAGCCTTGATGCTAGAGTCAGAGTAATGGAATCTGAATCTCCATTCCCTTGTATACCTGCTGTGTGATCATGGATATATTTCTTAATCTCTCTGAGCCTCAGTTTCCTCACAGCAAAATAGGGATGATCAGGTATATGTGAAAACTAAATGAGATTCTGCATATAAATTTATTAATGTGATCTGTCAATATAGCACCCATATATTGGGTGCTATATATATAGCACTTAATATATATTAATGTCTTCTCTATACCAGTCTGTGTCCCTTGAGCCTGGGACAGTAATCAGCACCAGCTGGAACTCAAAGTGCTCCTTCCCTCTTTCCTTCCATGTGCCTGTCTCATCTGGCACATTGCCCTACAGAGAGGAAATGTGCATGTTTCTCTCTACTGTTCAAAGCCAGCTTGATTCCTTGTAATTGTCTCACAACTTACCAAGTTTTTTTCATGATTTTTTTCTTTTGCAATAGCAAAAGATAGCTTTTGATTAAATTTTCTCTGGGATAATTTTTTTGACCCATTGCATTCTCTAGATCTCGAGCTGTCCAGGGGCCTCCCCACTACTAAGGCCCTCTGTCTCAGGTGCCCTGGGAAAATCTATTTTTAGTTCTCACTTTGTTTTCCAGATCACCTGTTGAGAGGAAGACTGAACTGTCCTCTTTTGTTAAAATAAGTCCAGGGTCACCTTTTGGAAAAAAATATTCTCACAAAGGGCCCTGGTGGTGGCCACTTCTGTATACACTTTTGTCAGGGACAATATAAATCTGAGATTTAAGGTTGGGTTCTGAAAGAGTGATGAGCTCTAACATTGTTTTTACCCTTGATTGTGTGGGTAGACTTTTCTGGAGAGATGGTCTCCAGTTTTCATCAGCTTCTCCCTGGACCCTGTGATCCTGGCCTGCAGTGACTCTGTTCCTGTTCCTAATCTGATAGTTCTTCATTAGAATGGAACAATTATTCCCTTCCCACATTCAAGTAGCAGTGCTGCTGGCTACTTCCTGAGTAGGGACAACAAGAAAAGTCAGGTTAGAACCAGCTGCCTGGGCCAAAAGTAGCCCAGACTTGCATCTCAGCATCTCAGAACTTACTTCTCTCCTGTGCAATGCAGGATGGAACTTAGGAACAATGCCAGGGGTGGTCTATGTGTTCAAATCCAGGTTCCTGAAGGTAGCACTTTGGGGTCACAAGCCAAGGAGTGACAGTAAATTGGCGAGGGGCATCCTAGACAGCTGGAGTATGGGCTGCTTCAGACACAGGCTGGGCATTTTATCCCTTCTAATAGGCCTTGCTCTTGTCTCAATGACAGTGTTGCTACACCTGTAAGCTATGACACAAGCAAGTGCCAGAAAACCTTCAACAAGGAGACCTGCAGTTTTACAGTGGTGGAGCGGAAGAATCCAGAAAAGTCTTGTTTTGTAGGTGGATGGGTGCTATAATGTACTTCTAGTGGGCCCAGCGCTCCCAACCAGAGGTGACCCAGGACCTCCCAGGCCAAACCTCATTCTCATATGACCTCTAACAGTCTATGGTTTTGTAACCCTACCTATCAGTAAAAAAATAAAAAAAATAAATAAAAAAAATAGAGCAAACACTTGAACATGTGTATACTATTTGTAAATTATGTGTGCACTGATTTAAAACATGCAAACATTTAATGGAAAGAACAAAAAATAAATATGAATAAAAGTTATAGTTTTCCTACACTCCAATAGATCATTGTATACCCCCTACTCAGGCACTGCTGCTTCTCTTGCTTTGATATATCTGTACTCTGCTGCTCTGGTGTCCTACATATCTGCTGAACAATTCAAAAAATAAATGTGTCTTCAAATGAAATCAAAGCCAGTATTTGCTTTGAGTTTTTCATATTTATCCTTTCTTCCTCTTCAAAGAGTGTCCTTCATGTGGCATCCATCATATACCTCTGTGTTTGCCTCAGGTTAGAGGTTAAATAAGGCAGGACAACCTGGAAGAAGTAGCTCCAAGACCACATGCAGCCAGATGGGGTATTGAAAACCCAGGGGCTCTGAGTTGGGGGAATGGCTGAAGTGTAGGGCTCCTATATCAGTTGTCTCCTGCTGCATAAAAAACCCCAACAGAGAACTGGACAGCTATGTGCAAAAAAATGAAACTTGAGTACCAACTCACACCATACACCAAAATAAATTCAAGGTGGATAAAAGACTTAAATATAAGCCATGACACCATTAAAGTCCTAGAGGAGAACATCGGCAAGAAAATCTCAGATATTTTAAGCAGCAACATTTTTACTGATATGTCCCCTACAGCAAGGAATATAAAGGAAAGAATAAACAAATGGGATCTCATCAAAATAAAAAGCTTCTGCGTGGCTGGTGTGCTCGGCCAATTGCGGTTGATTCCCAGCGGGCCGTGCCTGGGTGCGCCGGTCCTGGCCAACCCGTGAAAGGCAACCACACATTGATGTTTCTCTCCCTCTCTCCTTCCCTTCCCCTATAAAAATAAATAAATAAAATATTTAAAAAAAAAAGCTTCTGCGTGGCTAAAGAAAACAGTATTAAATTAGCAAGACAACCAACTGTATGGGAAAACATATTTGCCAATGATACCTCAGATAAAGGTTTAATCTCCAAAATATATAAAGAACTTACAGGACTCCACTGTAAGAAGACAAGCAACCCAATTAAAAAATGGGAAAAGGACTTGAACAGACACTTCTCCAAGGAGGACACACAGAACATCCAGAGACACATGAAGAGATGCTCAGTATCGTTAGCTATCAGAGAGATGCAAATTAAAACCACAATGAGATACCACTTTACACCAGTCAGGATGGCTATCATAAACAAAGCAACAAACAACAAATGTTGGAGAGGTTGTGGGGAAAAGGGGTCCTTAGTTCACTGTTGGTGGGATTGCAGACTGGTACAACCATTATGGAAAACAGTATGGAATTTTCTCAGAAAAATAAAAATCGACCTGCCTTTTGACCCAGCAATTCCACTGCTAGGATTATATCCTAAGAGTCCTAAAGCATCAATTTCAAAGAACCTATGCACCACAATGTTCATAGCAGCACAATTTACTATAGCCAAGGGTTGGAAGCAACCTAGGTGCCCATCAGTAAATGAATGGATCAAAAAATTGTGGTACATATACACAATGAAATTCTATGCAGCAGAGAGAAAGAAGGAGCTACTACCCTTTGCAACAACATGGATGGACCTGGAAAGCATTATGCTGAGTGAAATAGGCCAGGTGTTGAAAGACAAATACCATATGATCTCACCTTTAACAGGAAGCTAAACAACAAAACAAACAAGCAAGCAGAATAAAAACAAAGACACTGAAATAGAGAACAAGGGGAGAGTGACCAGAGGGGAGAGGGAAGGGAATTTAAGGGAAAAAGGGGGAGGGATTTGGAGGAACAAATAGGAAGGACACAGGGATGAGAACTAAGGGGGATGGAAATGGGAGGGAGGTGGGGAGCAAGGGGCGGGGGAGGCTGGGATGGGAGAAATAGACAAAAAACTGTACTTGAAAAATAACTAAATAAAATTAAAAATTAAAAATAAATAAATAAATAATTAAAATAGGAAAAAAAACCCCCAACATTTAGGGATTTAAAGCAGTAACAATGTTATCATCTCCTGCTTCTGTGTTAGAGAATATTTGTTCACTCAGTAGGTCTTTAGTTAAGTGCCTGGGCCAGGCAGCACTATGGGCCTGGGGATATAGCAATGAGACAGAGAGACGAAGTCTACTGTGTATGCATGTGACAGATCATACATATCCCAGCAAGCAGTTACTGAAAGGAACCCATGGGGGAAAACTATTACAGAATTAGACCTGTTTGGGGAGCATAGGTAGTATTATTGAAACAAGCCCTTTCACCCTGGGTCTTTCTGTTCTAGGTTCATCTTGCCCCCCTCTAGGTGTTAGGAACTGTGGCTCTCAATGCCAGCGTTTGGTAAAAAGGGAAGGAACCATTTATTCGCAAGTTATACAGGTTTAGAGTAATGGTGGAATGTCACCATTAAAATCCCAAAGTCCCTTTAAAACACTGCAAACATACACAGTCCTTCCTTCCTCCCTTTTCCGAACAGGCCAGTCAGGGGTACTGTATCTCAGGAGAAAGAAATAGAAGTCCATAGCTCAGCTAGACTTCTGGCTCCTCCCAGCAATCTGTACTTAGCTGGGCAGGTCTCCTGCAGTCCCGAGCACCATCTTAATCCAAAACCACATGGAACCTCCTCCTAGCCCACCAGCAAGAGTCCTTTCACCCCTTTTCTTCCCACATGGTCTCACATTGTCCTTGTCCATAGTCCTGCATTGTCTCTCCTCCCACCTGGAGGCCCGCCTTTAAAACCCAGCGTGGAACCTCTTCTGTCACCCCATTTACAACTCCTCCCACAATCAGCAACACCTGTCAGGACTCCCACAGTTTATGCCTTTCTTGGCTGTCATAGTTAGTCTAGGCAGGAGTGGCCTTTGTGGTGTTGAGTGAAACATCTCCAAGCTCTTGGGCAGGCACAGTAACCAGGAAGCTGCCTCCCCAACATTCATGGGTCAAAGTCATTCCCATCTCTCTAGCTAGGCTGATGTTGATATGCGAAATAACCATTATTCATATGGGTATGAAGCTATGGTGCTGTTATTGATATACAAATTAACTCTCAATGGCCCTGTTCCACATCTCCCTTCCCCAAACAGACTTGTGGGGGTGGGAATATCTTATATTCCCAGACATCCCCAGTTCTGGACTCTGTTACAAATCCCCCTTTTGGGGGCCCTGGGCCTCCCAGACTATATCCCATTACAAGTCCTCCGTTGAACAATTAATTTGTGGGCAATTGGTTAAAGAGCTTTATATATTCTCTGCTCCCCTAACTCTATCTGTTTAAACATGCTACTGAACTAGTTGAGCAATCCTCGGTAGGCCTCTTAGTTTTGCGGGGGTAACCCTAAGACAATGAAAAAATGCTTTGGTCACTGTTAGTGAATCTGTATCTGAATTGAACAGAGAATGGGGGGTGGGTAAATTAACAGTATGATGCAGTCTTTGCTCCCTGGGCTTGTGGCAGTGCTTAGGGTGATTACTTCCTCATGGGGCTTTTGTGGGCCTCTCTGATACCCACTACTCCCTTTTTCCACAGGTTTCCTTTCATATACAGACTATTGTTACAGAACAGACCGGGGGGCATAATTATTGGCCCACCCAGGGATGCCAAAAACCATTACAGATCAGACACACACACACACACAGTGCCAAGGAGGGTCATGATACACTATTACCGAAAGAACCCCCTACCAGTTTTGTTATGTCCGCTGCCAGATAGAAAAGACATCTCTCAATGCCAGAGATTTGTGAAAAAGAAAGGAAATGTTTATTTAATGTTATACAGACTTAAAGTAGTGACCTAATGTCTTCATTAAAATATCAAAGTCCTTTGTGGATGCCCACAGTGCTTCCTTATCCCCCTGCCCTAATTTGGGGTACTGTAACTCCAGAAAAGAAGCAAACGTCCATGTTTCAGGCCGCTGGCACTGTCGGCTGTGTCACCGTGCAGACGGTATCTCTAATTAACCCAAAGCCATGTGGCACCTTTTCATGGCATACTGGCAAGAGTTCTTTCACCCTTCTTGCAGGCAAAGTCTCTCCTGCTTCCCAAGCCACCCGGCCAAAGGGAGCACCTCAAAGCCGCATGGTCCTCTTCTACTAAAGCTACAGGGGTCTCCACTCTGGCCAAACCACATAGATCTCTCCTTTCCTCCAAAGCTACAGGGAAGTGGGGGTGTCGCCACTCTGCCAAAGCTGAGTGGTGGTTCTCTGCTAAAGCCACATGGCGATTCTCTCTACTTCAGCTGCGGCGGTCCCCACTCTGACCAAAAGCGCGTGGCTTTCTCTCTCTGCACTGCCACAGCCACGTGGTCCTCCCTGTCCTAAGCTGTGGGGGTCTGCACTATGGCAAAATTGCGTGGATCTCTTTTCCTGGCAAAGCTGAGAGGGGGGCTCCCCACTCTGCCAGAAGCATGTAGCTTTCTCTTACATGGCTGCCAAGCCTGGGTTTAAATTCCTGTGCCCATTTTCCTCTGCAGTTTCATTTCTGACTCCTCCTACAATCAGCTACACTTGCTAGCACTCCTGTATACTTCCAGCTTCACTGGGCTGCCCCTGTGGGTCTGGGCAGGTATGGCCCCATGTCATGAAGCCAATCATCTCCAAGCTTTCACACAGCGCAGTAACCTGGAGGACCTGCCTCCCAGTTACATCTTGGGTGGAAGTCTGTTTCCATCCCCCTGGTTCAGAGCCTGGCCACAGCTATTTAAAATATCTATGCAACCAGTTAAAGGTTATACATATGTTAAATGGCCATGCCAGAGGTTAGCTGCAAAGCTGTGGCTGTACAAAACAGCTCTCAATCACCCTGCTCCATTTGTCCCTTCCCCCAGCTCACACCTGTGGGGGGAAGAGGGAAGGACATCCCAATATTTCCTGGACACCTTGAGTGCTGGATCCCATTCCAAATCTTTTTTGGGGCCCCCCTCTTGGCTGCACCCTGTTACACTATGACTATGCCTTCTTCAATACTGTGTATGAATCTATGTTTCCTGTTGCTTTCAGATGAGATTGCCTTGCCCCTTGTAGGAGTTACTCTCAGGTGGGATCCATAAAACTATCATGATCATCTCCTTGGTAAAGCCCTTCATCGTTCTGGGAAAGTTGGGGCTCAGTTAGCACTCAATATTGGGGACCTCTATCAAAACAGAGACAAAAAAAGATTTCTGTTTTAACATCTGGTCACATAAATAAACAAAAAATTCCAATGTGGATA